CCGCGCTGAGCCCTGGTCCCCACAAAGCCCCTGGCCCTGGCCGTGCTGGGCGATCCCAATGCAGAACCCGGGCGCGGGGCGCGCCTGAGCAGGGCTGCTGCCGCCCCGCAGCCACTCTCCCTACCTGGGACAGCAGAACGCACAGGACGAGCGGAGTGGCCGGCTGCATTTTCCCGACTAGAAGCGCCCGGCGGCGTTCTCATTCACGCACGCGGCTGCACTGAGCATATTTTCCGTGGGAGCCAGGCTTTGAGGAGAGGTTCTGCCTCGCCAGCCAGCCAACTTCCCAAATAGATCAGCAGCAGCATCACGAAAGCATTGGGTAGCGGCTGATGACCAGGACCAATGGCTTTACAAGACGGATTCCTTCATAAAAGCGCCCTGGCTTGGCAAGGCAGAGAGGCGGCTGGCACCTCGCGGGAGCGAGCCCCTCGGAGGATGAAGCCCACTTGCCTTTTTGGACTGCTGGGACTCCGCCTGGGCTAGACGAGCCGAATCTACTTTTTTTTTTCCTGGAGCGTGGAATTGCACCAGGGGTTGGCGGCCACTTCCAGCCCAGTGTGAAAAGATTCTCTTTATTAAAATGTTAATAAGATCCACTTTATTTCCAATAAATCAAATAAAATGACCCGGGCAGTTCCAGCCCTTCTTATGCCTGGAAAGGTTTGGTTGTGATTGTGTGTGTGTGTGTGTGTGTGTGTGTGTGTGTGTTTCTCTCCTTTCCCTCTCCCTCTTTTTTTAACCAGTGTGGCCCAAGTTGAGATGGTGTTTGGTGTTCCCCTGCTACATCGCACAAATCACAAGAAGGACAGATCAATTCAAGCTTGCAGAAAAAAAATCCATCAAGGGGCAATAGATTTTATTAACTGCTCAGGTGATGGTCTGGCAGCTGGCCACTCCGGCAAACGTGTGCCTGGCTCTCATCAAGGGCCATGATTTAAGGAAACTTCTTTTGATTTTTCTTTTCTTTTCTTTCTTTTTTGGTGTTCACCTTTCAGGAGTGCCTGGCTATGTCAGGGACTCTGAGCAGTAGCTGTCACTGCTCAAGAGATTTTCTAAGTGTGAGCTTTGGGAAGGAGGGACGAGGAAGCGGGAGAGAGAATGCCTTCTCCAATAGCAATCTGAAGGTCATTTCCATGAGTTTGTTTCTAGAAAGGAGTTAAATTGTTTGACACTAAACACGTGTGCCCTAGCATCTGGACAGCCAAAATAGGACATTTGGGCTGGGAGGTGAATATGTCAAAAAGATTGAAATGTCAACTTCCACCTTTATGAAAAATATGTGCTCAGATTTGGAACTGAGCTTCCTGGCAGCCAAAGCAAGAAAGGGAGCAAGTGCATAAGTTATAGTTAGAGAAACATGCATGCAAATGCCTCCAACAGGATTGTCCCAGCACTAAGCACGCGGGCGGGGTTGGTGTATGACATATATAGGACGAGGAAGCATGCACAGCCTTATATGTCCCACCTTGTGGCAGAGGTCAGGAGCATGAAGATAGTCATTAAACCTTCTCTGTTGTAGTCAACTCTATTGGGACTCACAGCAGTCCCATAAGCACAGTAGAATGGCCTCATAGGGTTTCCAAGACTGTACTTCTCTACAGATGTTGGTTGCTGCCTCTTTCTCTCTCTGAGTGGCTAGTGGGTTTGAACCACTGACCTTCTGGTTAGTAGCTGGATGCTCAACCTCTGGGCAACCTGGGTTAAATGACTCGATAGCTGACTTAGTCAAGAGACAGCAGAGTGTGTGTGTGGGGAGGGTGGGCTCAGAGCCTACGGCCACACTGTCAGACTCAGACCCCCTCTGCTACTTGCGTGTATGTTACTCAAAGCCTGTGGCCTTTGAGTGTCTATGGGTAAAGTGAAAATACAACGGGTGCTGAACTCATCATTTGCGGTGAGAGTGATGTGACAAAAGACACACTGGATCCACGTGAACCCACACTTTGTTTAAAAGCCCTCTCTTAGCCTGTGTCTCAAGGCTAAGGAGAAAGAGGCCATGACGGGCTGTCAATCAGCAGGCAGATCATCTGAGCCTGTGGAGTTGATGAAGACAGGGGCAGAGGCTCAGGGACAGCTCCGCAGATGATGAGCCCTGGGCAGGGAGTAAGGATGGCAGAATGATGGTGCTGCCACCAGGTTTCCTCCAGAGGCAGTTCAGCTGGGAAGCACTCCTGAGGGCAGGACGTGCCCAAGGCTGAAATCACAGGACCAGGCCTCAGAATGGTCCCTCCGGACAACTGTCAGTGTGCTGATTGAACACCAAAGGTCTCCTTTCTGGGCATAGGGCAGGGTTGCACTTGCTGCCCCCCTTGTGGTCAGAGCAGAGTTGTGTGACTCGTTCTATCCAATGACCCGTATGAAGACATGCCATGTGTCCACTGGTGACTGCAGGATGGAATTGCTAGAAGGAGACAGGCTGGTCTCCCTGGGAGCAGATGCTGAGATAGACATGTAGACAGGTGCCATATTGGGTGGAATGCCTCACAATTGTAATAGAGACCCCTGCCCAGATTAGGGAAGCTCTGGGCCTGGGACAGCCCTTGAGAGGTGACCTTCATCACACTAAGACACTCAAAGCAGACCAGCAGTTGAATGAGCTATCTTTGCCGGGTAGCCAGTGACCCCTTCAGAGGTGACTCTAATAGAGTGAGGAGAACGGGCCCTGGTGCTCACAATGAATCAGTACGCTGTCATTCCATCAATCCTGATACATAGTGACCCTATAGGACAAAGGTGAACTGATCCAGAGCTTTTATGAGGCTGTAAATCCTTATGGGAGCATCGTTCTCCCTCAGAGCGGTGAGTGGGTTTGAACCATTGACACTGTCATTGGCAGTCCAGTGCAACACCAGGACTCCTTCCCAAAGAGCCAGCTGTAGGCCATGAGCAATCCCTAATGAAGGAGATAATCTTGGATGAGGCAGCTCAGTTTTGCCAAAGGCAACTCTCTTTTGACCTCAGAGCCAATACATCAGCTACATCTAAAACATCAGGCCCAACAGGTCAAGGGAAATCTCTAAGCCCAGGTCACACGTCCCCTTGTGAGTTCAATGGCACAAGTGAGGACAGATGTGTCTACCTGGCCCAAATGCTAAGGACTCTGTCTGCTCACATAGCCTCAGAGGTCCTGGAATTTGGCTCAGGGTGTGAGGGGGTGGGGGGTGGGGTGGGGGGTGTTTTCTGGTGGGAATAAGTCCCTCACTGGCCTCCCTGGATTCCCAGAAGGCCAGTCCCACCCCTTCTTTGATGGACAGTCTGGGCTGAGAAGGCTCTATGTTCGGGGTCTCCTTGGGTCCGAGGCTCATGTCGACCAACTCAGAGTCCTCCTTTACTCAGAGACCCTAGTAAAGTGGAAAGAGACTCATCGGTGACCTGAAGCAGGAGTGAGGGCAACAGGCTCCACTTGTATTGCTTCACTGTCCCACGCCTCCGTCTCTTCATCAATGAAATGGGAAGGACAAATACTCCAAGGGCTACTGCAAACCGGAAGTTACTGCTCCCCACCTGTCCCCACTCCTCCTTCCAGAACATGCCTTTTGCCAAAGGGCAGCACAATGTCCTGGCTCCCTCCTCAGAGACAGGAGAGCAGTCATTCCACCCCAGTAATTAAAGGCCTCGGAAGAATAAATCCATTTCTGCTTGTTTATTTTGTTCCCTCGGCTCTCTAATGGGGTCTTCTTGCTGTGGCCTGATGGATGGTGGCAAATAAATATTGACACTGAGAAGCAGTCCTCTCCTATGCCCACCCAGCCCCCACGCAAGCCTCCCCAGAAGCCGAGCCTGCATGGAGAAGGCGTCAAGGTTGGCACGGCTGTGGGAGGCCCACCTGCCTGGCTTGGGATCTGCTGATGAGGATGAAGATGTTATCTCATCTGGGAAGAAGCACAGTCAGAGTGCTGCTTAGAGGTGAGGTCAGTGAGATGTCATCCCACACACCTTCGACATGTTGTCAGGAGAGACCAGTCCCCAGAGAACATCCTGCTTGGTAGTCAAGTGGAGAGGCAGTGAAAAAGAGGAAGGCGCTCGACAAGATGGATGGACACAGTGGCATCAACAATACTCTCACACTTGAAAGAACAGCTGTGAAGATGGACCAGGACCAGGCAATGTCTCCTTCTGGTGTACATAGGGGCGCTACGGTCAGAGCTAGTTTGCTGGTAACCTAAGGACAGCAGCAATTTTACTTGCTGTGGGTTGTCCATTTTCCCCGTGGTTGTCTGTCTTCCCAGCTTCTAGAACAGTGTCTGGGACAGAGCCGATGCTGGGCTATTTTGTGTCATGTGGATGGATTACAGGACTTTTGGTGCTAAAAACTGTGTGACCCAGATAGGCCACCTTTCTACAAACACTGCCCCACAGGGAGCACTTCTGATGCTAACCAGTCCATCCTGGCACAAGGAAAGCAACCCCTGCCCATCAGGCCCCGCGGAGGGCATGGCAAGTTGTTCTCACCAGACTCTAGACCGGGGCGAGGGGGAGGTAAGAACGTTCCTCGAAGGCTGGTGTGACCACGTGGCTGCCTGGAGAGGGAGGGAGGTGGGGTAGGGGGTGTTTTCCTTAAACACCCACCCCCCATACCACCTGTAGAAAGAGCTCACATATCTAAGAATTAGATGGAAACGATGCCTTTGGCCTTTGAGGGGCTGGACAGCCATGCTGACCTCTGTGGACGCATGTGACATGGTCACCAAGCTCCCTCTTGCTAGAAAATGCAGCCATCAAGGTAACGGAACTGGCATTCAGACCTCAATCCCTCCTTAGCTGCAAGATGCTGCAGCTAATCTTGCAAATTCTATGCCATGAACCAGAAGCAGTTCCAACCCCCCTCTAGGTGTCTCCCTTATCCAGAACTACTGGCCGGGGCTATTTCCAAAGCGGACACAGGGCAGCATCTCCACAAAGAGCCCCGCTGTCAAAGGGACTGAGACCCCACCCAGCAGCAGGCAGCATCCTGGAGCCCGCTTGAAAGGCAAGCTCCGTGCACCCCCACACACTGTTTCAGAAGCTCCAGGTGGGGCCAGAAATCTGTGCTTGGCCAGCCCAGCTGAAACATGGTTTGAAAATCACCGCACTGGAGAACCCCCACAGGAGCCTGGATGGTGTAGTGGTTACGCGTTGTGCCGTGATCCGCATGTTCAGCAGTTCGAAACCAGCAACAGCTCTGCTGGAAAAAGGCTTGGCTTTCCCGTAAACAATGACGGTCTCAGAAACCCACAGGGCATCACTATGAGTCAGCCTGGACTCCATGACAGTGAGTCACAAACCCCACTCCCTTCATTCATTCATTTTCAATCATCT